GATTGGCTGCTTCCTGCATGCCCCCCACTGGGGATCAGGCCCACCACCTGGGCATGTGCCCTGACCGGGGATCGAACCGGCGACCTCTTGGCTCATGGGGCGACGCTCAACCACTGAGCCACACCGGCCGGGCTAGCCTCATTTGATGTCCAACAAGTAGCTAACTCCTCTCTCAAAGACCCTGCCTGCATGGCTGTCTAAATCCATGCACTCTGAGCATTAACTTGTAGTTGAAATGTCCCCTTGTCCTCCAGCAAGGAAGCAGTTTCCGTGTCTATATTTAGTCATTTGTAATAACTTTTTCAATTATAAAAATATATACCTGCAACATATTCATAATGGAATGCTATATACCAGTGAAAAGGAACAGGCTTCTGCTACACATAACAATACAACAGAATGGTCAGTTTTTATGTATTTATACACATCAACTTGAAGAAATAATATTGAATAACAGTCCAGAGACAAAAGAGAATATCCTGTATAATTCTATATCTATGAAGTTCGAAATTAGACGAAAGTAATCTATGGTAATTGAATATTGGTTCCTAGGGGGTAGTTGGGGGAGATGGGGAGGTTACTGGGTAGGGACATGAGGGAAGTTTTTTGAATTTTGATAATGTATATCTTAATCTGGGTTATACATGTGTATAAATATACAAATCCAAATTGTTTGCTTAAGATTTGCATAATTTTCCATTTGTATATTATACTTCAATGAAAAACTAAAAAGAAACAATAAAATTAATATGCTCATTGTAAAAGATGAACAAAGTACGTAGGCAAGCATTAAAATCAACAAAACCATCTGTATGCCCACCACTGGGAGATATCATAACTAATAACTTGAAGTGTGACCTTCCTGATCTTTTCCCGGTAGCATTAACTTTTCATGAGCATTTCCTGAGAAAGGAATCCAGGACCTGGTACCAATCACTGGAGATGCTAATTTACTGAGGAGTCTGAATTTCCTGGACATATCTTCCACTTACCCAGAAAGCAGACACAACTAGATTTAATTTGACCACTTTTAGAAGAGCATGGTACAATTAAAGGCAAATAAATGGAATTAAAATCAAATTGAATACAGCCTTTCAATGATGTGACTTAGAATTTGATTTTAAATACAGTAATGAATATAAAATTAAAGCTTAGCGTAGAAAGCTGAAAAGGCCTCTGGAGCCTCCTGGGGCCCAGAGCGCCACCTACTGATAGTGGTCTGCAATGACACCCACCACCCCATCTAAGAGCACGGCCTTCCTACATAAGGTGCAAATGAGATACCTCCTTTTACTTTTATTATTTTTTAAAACATAGGTTTGTTGTTGTTGTTTTGTTTTTGTTTTTTTTTACTTTTTTTCTTTATTGAATTTAGAGAGTAAGAAAGGGAGAGGGAAAAGGAGAGGGAGATAGAAACATCAATAAAAAAAAACATCAATTGGTCGCCTCCTGCATGCCCTGGGGATCAGGTCTACAACCTGGGCATGTGTCTTGACTGGGAATCAAAACAGCAACCTCTCGGTGCATGGGTCGATGCTCAACCACTGAGCCACACCAGCTGGGCAATACCTCCTTTTATTATATGGGTTTATATATCTCTCAAGAGCTTCCCAGACATTTTTCTTCCCTAGGGCATTACACAGATGCTAGCACATAGATAGAGTAACAAAAAGTGGTTGAGTGAACGAACAAATGAATGAATGGACAAAAGTATGGAAGGGCATTCTTGTGTGTCATTGTGAAATGAGGGAATAATCTCTGCCCAGCCCATCTCTTTTTTCTTTTGTCTTGTTTTTTAATAAAAATAATGATTTAATATACATGCACATAGTGAAATGATTATTGGTCAAGCTCATTAATATATCATCTCCGTACATAGTTACTTTTCTGGAATGAGATCCCCTGAATTCTACTTTCTTACCATATTTCCAGTATTCAATAGTGTTATTAAGAATTGCCATCATGCCCGGCTGGTGTGGCTCAGTGGTTGAGCATTGACCCATGCACTAAGAGGTTGCCGGTTTGATTCCCGGTCAGGACACATGCCCAGGTTGTGGGCTGGATCTCCAGTGGGGGCATGCAGGAGGTAGCCAGTCAATGTTCTCTCTCATCGATGTTTCTGTCTCCCTATTCTTCCTCTCTCTTCCTCTCTCTCTAAAATCAATAAAGAAAAAAAAAATTTTTTTTAATGAAGTACAAATTGGTTTGTAGACTGACAAACCTCATGGGGAAGGGGGGGACAGATAAACCAAAGAACTTATATACGTAATCAATGGACACAGACAACAGTGTGGGGAAAAGCAGGAGGGGGGTGGGAATGGGGAAGAGAGGGTCAATAGGGGAAAGAAGAGGGACATCTATAATACATTCAACAATAAAAATAAGTTAAAAAAAAAAAAAAAAGATAATGCCTGAGAAAACACTTTGTAAACTAAAGCACTAGGCCCAAGTTAAGGTGTGGCTACTAATAAAACCCCAAATGAACATCGTGTCCCGGTTGTAACCTGAGCAAGCTCAGAAACTACAGGGAATGTCACCTGCATTGATCTGGGCCCAGCTTCTACTTATGGAATTCGACCCCATTTTAGCAGCTGCATCACAATGTTACTTCACATTGCATTTATAGCCCACTGACACTTACTCCCTCCTAGCTTTTAAAAATATGGACTACACCCCTTCATGTATCACCTACACTTTGGACAATTGACTTTTTGAACCTAAATGTAGACTTTGTATTATATTTGCACTAGGTAAATTTAATCTTATTGCTCTGGTCCATCTATATAGGATATTGAACTATTTTAATACTTCTTTAGCCATTCCATTTGTTCTCTCCCTGATGACTTGATGACAGCCATGCATTTGAACAGTGTACAATCTATCCATCCATTCATTCATTCAGTACACATTTACTGAGCACCTACTGTTTCCTAGACACCGTGTCAGGAGCCAGGAGACACAGAGGGCATATCTGACAGAGGGTGGCCAGTGCTGTTGTAGAGGTCTGCCCTGGCCGCTATGGCCTTAGAGAGCAAGGTATTCCTAATGCTATCAGCAGCCATGGGAAGGTGTTCCAGTCTGAGATGTGGCAGAGGCCAATAGCCATTCTCCTCTTCTTCCTGAGTTTACCACTGGACTGTATTTTCCAGCCCTGATGATTCCCAGTGCTTCCACATTAATGACCAGGGCTTTCTTCCTGGGCAGATGAAGGAAAAAAGTCCTTTGTGACAGGTCTCTCATGATTTCCTCTGCCTTCCAAGAACAGAAACTGCAGGTGGCAAACACTGGCCTGTTCTTCTCTGTCTAACCTCATCACCCCACCCTCATCCCTTTGCCAGCACGTACATTCATTCTGCAAATGTCAGTGGAGTTCCTACTGTACTACGACGAGCTCCACTGCCTCTCTTAAGTCCTCTCTGAGTTCAAACTCTCCACAATGGGGAGCAGGTACCTTCTTCATGTGGGTGGATCCCCTTCCCGAACCCTTTCATCCCAGCCAAGATCAAGGTCTGAGCCGCTGCATCCCCACACCCTGGTTTCGTACTCTCAGGCACGATGTAAAGGTGCCAAGGGAGGGAGAGCAAGGAGTCAAAACACACCTGATCCTCTTGGTCTCATTGGCAGAGCACTATAATGAGAAAAACCTGGACTGCAAGTAAAGACACACACTCAAGTCCCAGATCTGCAACCAACCAACTTTGTGACTTTAGATATGTCCCTCTGGGGTGTTATAAAACAAGCTGAATAGAGCAGAAGAGCTTTGCGTTCCCATTCACCTCTTTTTTTTTAGGTTCAAATTAAGAGAGCTTTATTAGCCACGTGGTGACTGTCCCATCCTACACAGAGGAGAGAGCAGCTCCCATTCACCTCTTAATATTCTGATTCTTTCCATGCTAATCCCTAATTCCTGGATGAACCTCCCACTCTCTTGTAATTTAGCTTTACAGAGGAATCAAGAATTTTACAAAAAGAGGCAGAAGGAAGGGAAGAGTTTACCAGCCTTCCTCATAATGAAATATCTGCTGGCAATAAGCAGCCCGAAGCTGGTAAACAATTGCTAAGAATTACAACTTCAGAGAATCCTGAGTCGCCCTTGCCTGTAACCTGATTCCTGTTAGGCTCAGCCTAATCTTCAGTCCAGGCTCAAGCTCTGTACTAATTGTCAAGACCGCCTTGAATTTTTCACGAATGGTTTGGGAGATATTCTTTGTAGATGTATTCATCCTTTCACGTCTTCAGGAACTCTTAGTAATAAGCCATTTGGATAGGCGAGTCCCTTCGCTTTTGTGGGCCTTCATTTCTTGACCTGAACATAAGGCAGTTCCTCCAGCTCTAGAATATCTTTGTCTCTGCGATTGCAGGTGCCTCAGCCTGATATTCCACATGCAGCTCACAACCATCAGCAAACCCCGTAAACAAAAAAATAAAAAAAGGAGGATGCCATTCGACGATTAAATGCAGAAGAATCATGCAATTAGCGGAGGCCGTTGATCACACAACATGTGAGTCTAATTGCTGCACAGGCAAATGTTTGCTAAATTGAATAAATGTGGGTGTGCAGTCACTCTCATACACAGATTAAGTTGTGAAATTAAGGAAAATACAGAAGTTAATTATAAGATGGGAGTGATACACATAGGGTTTGTGCACTAGGCCGATTAAAATTATTAACCGAGTAATCATCTCACATCCAAAGTGGAATGTTACAGGCATTCCAGGCCCATAGTCTGCCTACTGTGAAATGAAGTTACCACGTCTCATAAGACATGTAGAACATGTTTTATTTTTATATAGCACTTGTTGCCTGTGGAATGCCAGCACTTGGGGCTGGTTATATTGGCTCACCAATGTGCCCAGTGCACATTGCCAAAGTGTGCAAGGCTTTGTGTTCTGGTGTAGAGAGGCAATACTGGGTCCTAATCCTTCTTAGGCACTCCTGAACCTGCTACAAATGACAAATCCATTAGCCCATGAAGTAGCTCTTATGTGAGGTCACCTACCGGCCTTCCATGGAGAGGTCAAAAGGAGTCCTGGAGAGGTAGTCACAGTGAAAACCTAGGCTCTGGAGGCACACGGTTTGGATTTGAATCCTCGGTCCATTGCTAATTTTTTGACAAGTTGTTCAGCTTATGGTGCCCTGGTTTCCTCATTTTTGTCCTGGGGGCAATAATATCACCTATCTCTTAGAGTGGTTGCAAGGATTAAAGGAATTATTACCTACAAAAGCACAAAGAATACTGTCTGGCACATAGTAAACACTCAATAAGACTTATTTATTGCTTTCTGATTTTCCCAGTCTGTTAGTTTGTTCATCAATCACGTAAGGGTCCACTATGTGCATGGTAGTAGGCTACTGAAAAAGACCATGGTGGGGGACACATACACATGCACATAGAGGTTCCATCCTCATATTAGGATTAGGGAGGAAATACTGACACAAACAGCTGCAGCGAAGCAACATGGGAGATGCACTGTTTGTGCTACACAAGGCTCAAGGCGGGGCATCATTCCTGCAAAGCAACTAGAGGAAGCTTCGTTGAAGACAGGTCACCTCAGCTAGAGCAGGATGAAATTTTAACAGAGGGGAGGCTGGGTGGAAAGATGTGTAACATTCTAGGCAGCGGACAGTTCATGGGCAAAGATGCTGAAGTAAGACAAGCCAAGGCAACACCAAGCGCTTGCAGGAAGTGACTGTAAGGCTGGAAAGCAGCTCCGAGGTCAATCCTGGCTAGTACGGGGAAGGGCGGGGAGTGGAGGAGCATCTTGATGTCAAGCCCTGAGTAGACTTTATCCTGTGAGCCAGAGTCCATTTTAAATGAACCATTTTAGGACAAAGCAGTGTTAAAGGAAGACGAGTCTGGCAGGGTAAGCAGGAAGGATGGGAAAGAAAAAGACTGGTGGCAGTGTGGGCAGGTTCAAGTGTGCAGTACAAGGGTGAGAATGAAAAGAAATGCAAGGGACATTGGAAGGAAAAACTGACAGGACTCAGTGACCAAGAGGATGTGCAGGGGCTTGCTAGTCAACCACAGATTCTGATTCCTAGTTACCCAGCACAGTCTCCAAACAAAGCTCTACCAGTAGGCAGCACAGAAGTTCTGAGCACGAGCTGGAGAGTCAGACAGCAAGGGGTCCCTGCCATGCTATTTGCTGGCAGTATTACCCTCAGCCAGCTTTAATCTCCCAGAGCTTTCCTCATTTGAAAAACAGGAATAAAAACGTACTTCCCAGGAATGCGGTGAAGATTAAATGAGAGAATAGTGATAATGATGGAAAACGCGTGCATAGGGAGCTCTCAGTAAAAATGCTGGGGGAAAAGCAAAACACCAGTGCCCCCAGATAGGGAATAATAAATATATATATAAATAAATAATCTGCACCCACATTCTCCTGAACATGATTTATTAATGTTTTGATGATTCAGACGCTCTTTCCAGATCTTGCACGAACACCAGCATCACCAATGTACGGTCACTATGTTAAGCCCCACAAAAGCACTGCTTGGCACATATTTGGGTCCGATTAAAAACAAACCAGCTCACTGTATTGATTTGAGCCAGAAGGAGAGAGAGCCATAAGGAACAATCCCTGATCCTACTGATGGAATTGGAGCATGAATTTGGGAACATTTCTCCTGTATTTCCATCAAGATCCCCATCATTTTCCTTCTCACCTCAGGCAATGCCAGCTTTCCATGTGCCTCTCCCGATTTCCTGTGACAAAAGGTGGTGGAGATGATCCCAGGGGCTGCTGAACAGCAGCTGGTGTGTGTGAACTTCAAAGGCCTGTTGACACAGCTACACGGCACTGAGGCAGGGGCTGGGGGCAGGCCTGTCTGAAATGCTTAAGCCACACCTTGAAAGCAGCAGAACCAGCTACAGGGAGACCCATAAACCATCCCAGCTTTTGGAGCACTGTTATTTAGGCAACAAAAATGCAACCTGCAAAAGCAAATCAAATGGGCCACTGGAGTTTGGAAATTAGAGAACTGAATCTTGGCCTGATCCATTTCCCATCACTGCAGAGTTCTTATTGCAGGAAAAGTTACCCTTCAGCCAAACTGTGTTAATTTTCAAACATACCCAAGACCTCTGAGACAAACATTTAGGGGTCCAGAAAGACAAAAAGACAGCATGCTGGGAAGCAGGGGACTGACCACAGTCTGTCAAATTTCAAAACCTGTGCTTTTGTCCAGTTTCCAAGGGAAGCTCAGCATCAGCATAAAATTATGCAACGTTGGGAGATTCAAGTAATCAGGTTGCTCTCCCATATCACAAGAGAGACAACTGCAGCTCAGAGGAGTTGAATGACTTATCTAAGATCACATAGCACATGACAGCTTCTGCTGTGGAAATCTATAAGCTGACAAGAGACTTGATCATATAAATAAAACTATTTCCTTATAATCAAATAGTAATTAATGTTTTCAAACATTTTTTTTGCATACATTGCCTCAGTTGGTCCACACCATCAATAAAGTCCTTATGTCACAGCCATTAGCATCCCCCTTCACAGAAGACAAAAGTGAGGCTCAAAGAGGTAAGTGGCTTACCCAGCTAACCACAGCAAGCGCTAAAGCCAAAGTTCTTGGATTCCAAGCCAGTTGGCAAGTATTAACCGAATCCAATCCTATGCTCAGGCCTGTGCTTATAGCAATTAAGATGTTTGTGTGCTGGGAGCAGAGACAAGAACAAAGAGCAGGAGAGCAATGTGTACTAACAGAGCCAATAAACTAGACAGGGAAAAAACTAGACAGGGAAACCTTAAATTATGATGCACTTACTAATTCTACTAAGAGATAATAGCATGTTATCTTAGAGTATTTTTCCTCTTCAGTGCATGTTTCTCAAGCATTTCTATAAATTAAGTCCTTAAAAAATAAAAAAGATAAAGCAGGCCTCTAGTTGTAAGATTCCAAAGATACTCAACATCTTGCCCTCCAGCTAACCACTGAGCATACCCACACCTACAGAAACGGCAGGAGGTAGGAGAAAGAGGCAGAGGATGAAGACTCAGTTGGCCAGGAGGAACCATTTCCTGGCCAAACAATTTGGCTACTGAATATTTTTTTCTCCCGAGTGATTAAAACCAGGAAAAATAAAAATAAATATTGATTTGTCTGGATTATAATATATATGATAATTATTACTGAGTACTTACCATAATGTGCTAACATTATGCTAAGCACTTTACATCCATTTATCTCATCTAATCCTCACAGCAACCCTTCAAGGTGGGTATTTTGACCCCCATTTTAGTGAGGAGAAAAAAGTGAAGCTCAGAGAAGGTAAGTAATTTGCCTAAGGTCACATAGCTGTAATGATGAGGTGAGCTTTGGCCCAAGGTTTATTTCACTCCAAGGTCTTAACTTGAATCCACATCCTATCCTTTATCAAGGAAGAAAATTGACTACAAGATGCTTCTCCGTTTCTAGATCCCAAGTTTCTCTAAGAAGCAACCATCTGTGATATGACACAGACATGACATTATTCTCACAATGATGCCAAGATAACCAGCATCTAAAAAGTTTGGTTAACAAATATTTTTCCCTTTTTAATAATAATAATAAAAAAAAAAGTAGTATCATTCTATATTATTCAAACTAACTTAAAAGCAATTCTACATTTTTACTTTAAAGATTGAATTTGTAACAATCTTAGCCCTTTTAAAAAGGTACATATGGAACTATCCATTTTGCGGGCAGATTCAAATGCATACTCCAACCAGTTTCCATACTAAAAAACAATGTGAGCCTTTAGGGATCATTTGCAATAAAGCTATCTACTTCTTTTGGAAGATCCTAATAATTTGATCAACAAAACCAATTATGTCCGCCCTATTCAATCTCTGTGCTCTATGGGAAAGCAGTACAGCGAGTAGTTAAACTCGACCATAACAACTCTGGGTATCATGAGGTATATTAGGTGGAACCAGATCCTGAAAACCATGACTTTAAGGGGAATTCACAAGTGCTGGAAGTAGAGGCTCTGGGATTCCGGCAATGAAGAAACCTGTTTGAGGAAGCGGGTGTTAGAGGGCTTGGTGACCGTCTGTAACCTTGTGAGGAGATGCCTCCCCACCCCAGGCTGACTTGGCCGGTCAGAAACCTGTCTGTCTTCCTGGCTCCCAACTTCAGTTGAGAGCCGGCTGAGGTTTAGCTAACCCACTGAAGCTGACTTCAGTGATCATTCCAGGAGAAACCAGGCTGGCTCCAGTGACTCTGAAGCTGCAGTCTGAAAGACTCAGAAAAGTAGACAACTTGTCCAAATGAAGTCCATGTCCCTGGAAAAGAAACAGAGAGAGAAAGAAGGGTGGTAAGTGAAAGGTTGGCTTTGATGCTGTAATCCGAGGGCAGCCACCGTGTTCCGTAGCTGGTGTCCAGCACAGTCCCTAGACTCAGAGCAAGTGACCCATACACATGAGCTGAAAGAAGAAAAGAATAAAAGTTGGGTTCCTAGGGAAGAAAACTACGTACAAAAAAACTTAAAAAAAAAAGTACTGTACAGGTAGGGCACAGAAAAAAGACTTTTGCTAAATTGAATGGTAAAGTAGTCTCACATTTAGAGGGAAAAAATAAGATGATAATAGTAATAATAATAGGTTAACACTTCTGCGAAACACTGTTCTGCTTCACTGTAAATTCCAAAAGGGCGAGGACTTTGCCTCTTTCATTCACCTGTATATACCAAGTATCGAATTCAGTGCTTGGGGGCATAGTAGGCATTCAGGATACTATGTTATAGTGAAGGAACAGATAAAACAGTCATGAGAAAAGGGGGTTGGAAGTAGTACTCAACTAAAGTAAAAACATTTTTATAGGGATGGTAATTACCAGATCATGTTTTCTGACATTATAGAGAGAGCACCAAGGATGGGCCAGCCATTGAACTTGGTCCTGAAGATAAAGAGGTTAAAAGACAAGATATCACCCTGGCTGGTTTGGCTCAGCAGTTAGTGCATTGACCCTAGAACCAATGAGTCAGTCACAGGTTCGATTCTGATCAAGGGCACAGACCTCGATTGTGGTTCATCCCCAGCCCTGGTCAGGTTGTGCCGGAGGCAACCAGTCGATGTGGCTCTATCATATTGATGTTTCTCTCTGTCTCTCTCCCTCCCTCCCAATCTATCTGATAATAAGTAGAAAAAGATCCTCAGGTGAGGAATAAAAACAAAACAAAACAAAACAAAAAAAACTCAAGAAAAGACAAGGTATCTTCTGGGATTTCTGATACAGCACTCAAGACTAGGACCTTTTTCAATAAAGTAACATGTATCAAGTCCCTAGTCTGGGCCAAGCACCCAGAAATAAGGAAGTTCCTCTCCCTGCCCTCCAGGAGCTCACAGTGGTGTAAGAAGGGTGTCTGTAACAGAGATGTGCATACGGGGTTACAGCACAGGACCTGAGGAATCTGCCTGAAGAGGGTCAGCACAGTTACACTTCAGCACCAGACTTCATCCAAAGGATAGCAATCGTTGATCAGGGAGGTTATGGGATTCCAGCATTGACGGGCTTTTTCATGTAGTAAATTCCTGCCCTACTCCCTGTATTTATACTTTTTTAATGTTCTGGAACCTGGCAAATGGATTCTTCCAACCCACCGATAAGTGCTAAGCTTACATGACCCTCAGCTCTATGACAATTTTAAGAACAGATGATGCAGTAAGACAATGAGGACAGAACACAGACTCCAATTCTATAAAAGGGTCCTCAGTATTGTGTTCTATTATCTCCAAAGCATTTTCAAAATTTAGATACAGTAATTACTCAATAAATGGCAGCAACTATTACTACTGCAGCTGAGTCCAGGACTGCAAATACCGATCCAAGGCTCATCAGATGAGTGGAGTTTCCCACAGGAAGTCACAGGAGAGTTGGAGGGGATATGACACACAGCCCGGCTGCAACCATCAGCAGGCTCTGACCAAGCCAGCTCTACATTCAGTCAGCACCAGCCAGCTCCCAGATGCTCCCATCTCCTGCATCCCTTGTCATAGTCACCCTCTTTAAATTCTGCCCAGATTGGACCCAGCACAATTCATTTTTGAACAGAGTAACCCACTAGGTAAAAGGACTGGGGAGGGCTGAGATATGGTTGTGAGCAGCTGGGATCTAACCCAGCACAGGGGGATTTGTGCAATTTAAAGCTCTAGACAGCTGTTTTCTGGTGAGTGTGCCTACACGTGCTACAGAACAGCACAACCCCACATTGCCTCACTGGGTCAGGAAATTGAGCCCGTGATAGAAGCACTTGGGGCGGGGGCAGGGGAGGAGGTTGCAAGAGACCAAGAAGGAAAGGTCCAGGAGCCTACTAGCTAGAGCAACTTCTTCCTTAGCCCTTTGGCCACCCTGTCAGTGGAGTAAGGACCTGATCTCTTCACACAAAGTGTGTGAGGCTCAGGTAATGCTGAAAATGGGCATGATTTCGAAATCCTGAAGGTTACCTTGGAATCTAGACACCTCAGAGGACACCCATCTTCCCCTTTACCTTCGATATATTTTTTCATTGTTTAGTGCTGAATGTGTTACATAATATATCAGCCCTCCAAGTTGTACAAGCCATAAGAGTCGCAGCAGAGTCGAAAAACTAATTTCAGTGACACACACATTACAAAGCATGATGAACAAAAGACCAGAAACAAATGTATGAATATTCCCTTGGATTATATAACTAATAACTGAAAAACATGTTTGATGGGAAAATAAGAAAGATTTTCAACCTGTCCCCTTCATCCTTCTTTCTTGCTTGGGCAGTAAACATCAAGTTTTCAACAGATTTCTATCTTTCTCTTACACTCATGCTGAATCTCAAATCAATACACTCTAGAGTTGAGTGGAATTATTTTCGGCTTGCTTGCTTTTT